TGAACTTGGAGTATGTTTAATTCAATTTATATATTTTCATTATGCTTACAAAAGTAATCCGAAGTTCACGACATTAAATATTTAAAGAAGAAATGTTTTTTTTTTTTCAAAAAAAAATTAAGAAAAATGTTAATTATGTTGTTAACATGTGCGTTTTTAAAAAATTAATAATTTTATGTAAAATAATAAAAAAAAAATTAATCACCATAAAATTGAATCTTTTCATTACGAAATTTACTTGAAATTGGATTTTTGTTACAAAATAAAAAATCATGTTAGATGAAATTATATATTTTACTCTAATTATATAGTTCAAGAAAAATGTTCGTGAAAAAAAAATCTAAAAACTAATTTATAGTTTAAGAAAAGTAATATAATATGTTATGAAAAAATTAAATAATTTTACGAGGACTAAATATGTTTATAAATGTTGTAAATTGCAGGCCGCGAAATGTAGAGAGTCTAAAAAGTGTTGGTGTCAATCCCAAAGCTCCATAGACTTGATGAGAACCTTCATCATCTCCATTGCTGAATGCTATATATATACACACACATACATACATATATAATATTCTCGCTTTGATGAATCTTATTCATACGTACACTTATGTTGACTTTTAATTGTTATTTATTATTGTGTAAATTATATAATGAGTTAGATAAATATTTTGATCCCATACGCACAACTAGTTTCAGACTTCTCATCAATTTCTTCTCTCTTAATATGATGATTATCTTTTACCATAATAATAATAATATTTTTAGTTCAACTTACTACATAATCTTCTCTATGACACAAAAAAAAATTTACATGCTATTTTTTTTTTTACTCTCTGTAAAGTAGTGACAACTCAACTGGAGCGAGTTACTAGAATGTGGTACCAACTTTTCCTATCTATTTGCTGAAGAAGTTAATGAAAGTAAAAAAGTTTGTAATTTATCATTAAGTTGTATATTTATTTTGGGTATTATATATATCTTTTTTATAATATCTGAATTTTAACTTTATTATTAATATATAAATATTATATTAAACTCATTATCTAATATTTTTATTACAAACTTTCGAAGCAATTTTCTCGATCATATCAAATTTTCATCAGGTTTATTTTTTATTTTTTCTTGAATCAAATAAATTTTTATGGTATAAATAATCATTTATTATCGATTAAGTAAGTAGGATCATATTGCAAGAAATAAAAAAATATGAGATTACATATAAAACACCATCCATTATAGAGAAGGAAAAATATCAAACTCTAAATCAAGAAAATAGTCTTAATGTCTTTGCCAACAGTGGGCCCAAACCACCCTCCCACGTCCACCCCGATTTGCCTCAATTTTTTAACAAATGAGATAGATATGTCTTTCAATGTCTTATGTAACACGTGGCAATTTATCTACACACATGTGATTTAATATAATTAATTTAATTGATAATATAATAAAGTTAGATAATTAATTTTAAGGTATTAAATTATTATATTTAATGTGCAAGATTAAATTATTATTTTTAATTTGATGAGGGGACAAATTATAAATAATAAAAATATGTAACTTTTCATATGACTTTTTAAAGAGTTATAGTCCCCAATTTAAAATTATTTAGAAGCTTTTCTTTCTCTCTTAAATAAAA